TAAGGTATTCACACACCATATAGGCATGGGATCAAATAAAATTCTGGCTCCCCTCTACGAAATGGTCCCTACCCTTTTTGAGTCCTTCAGTTGCCATTATTCTGTTACTTGTGTTTGAGCTTGCGTTCTAAACTTACTTGTCAAGTTTGTTTCCTCTTTCCTAAAATCTATCATACTACAGATGCTGATAAAAATAAAGAGGTTCTATCATTGTGGTCCCTTCAATAACCCCTCTGTGTTCAGTCCTGATGCCTTGGGCTGCTTCATCATCCCCCTTCAGTGGGAAGTAGTCATTAGGTTGTCTTCATCATCCCTGTTCTTAATGATAGTCAGGGTGATCATTGAGAGGGGGACTTGAGGGGCAGACTGCAGGAAGGAGGTCCACATGTTCTCCAAAGGTGGTGATTAGCCAGGGAGAAACACCCCCTCTCCTTCCCAAGAAACACCTGTTTGAGCCAAAATCTTTGTTGAAACATACTCCTCCCACAGGCAATAAAACCTGACATCCAACTGGACACCAGGGACTACTGGTTTCCAGGTCCCACTGCACATCCCCCCATGCAGCCTTTCCTTTCTCTTCTCTGGAAATAAAACTTTTCTGACCTTTGCTGCTTGAGTCCACCTTTAATTTCGATCTAAGCATGAAACAAAAGACCTTTGCCAGGTCCCAACATATTAGATACACACCTGAAAATCTTCATTTAGCCAAAGTGTTACACCTGAATAAAGAGAAAATATATGTCTCTATACATGTTTTCTCCAGTGTACTTTTAAAATGTACTTTTAGGCCCTCTGTCTATGCATCCAGAACTTAGAACACACAGGAAGTGCTATGTGAGCTATGGCAGCAGTAACTGCTCAAGCCTGCAGAGGCAGTGATCACATTGGAAATGTCATACACACCTCCTTTTGAAGAAATGAAACAATAAATAAGACTAGACCATCTGTTAAGAGGAAAGAAACTGTAATTACAAGAAAACTATAAATCACATCATTTGAACATTAGTTTATTCAAAAAATTGTAAATTTCTTTATTATTATTAATATAACACAAGGCATAAAGTGTACTTTTTAAAGACTAGACAAATTTGCATACTAAAAAAATTAAAGCAAAATTGTTAGATAAGATTCATTTCTGCTTGGCAGTCTTTTCCAACCACAGAACTCATCTTTTTTTTTTTTTCTCTGCATTCAAGGAAAAATATCAGAGCATTATTGCTACTAATTTTTATTATTCTTACAAAATGGAAACCTTCATGTTTATCATGAGTTGTAAAACATTATTTAGTAGCTTTTAGGATGTCATAAAGCATGTCCAACACAAAACATTAATAGGCATTCATACACTGTATTTTTGATTAATCATTTTAAGTGTATCTGAGTTTGATGTTTCCCCACCAAAGAAAAAATTTTAGTTTTTGTTTTATAAGAGAAAAAATTCTGAAGTGATAGTTATATTTTATTTTCTCCCTTATTTTTAACTTTATAGCAATTTTGAAAAAAATTATTAGTGCTTCTGACAAAATTTAAGCTGAGTCCAATGTGGAGCATTTTATAAACAGTGACAGACACCTTATACCATCATGCTCATGAATTCAATCTCTGAATATTTTTAAGCTTCTTATGCAAATGTAATACTCTTCCACACAGTCCATTTTAGTTCTGCTTCTAAAAGGCTTTTAGCTAAAATCTTCAGGTTTGAAATACTGCTTTAACAATAATATAAAGTTCAATTTATAATTTCTTCTAATGTTGTCATGCTCATATGCCACTGGTGTAAATAAATTATTTTATGTCTTAATCACTTGATGTCTGGCAGAAACTCCCAACACTACCATATATTACCTTTCCTTTCTTCTTGAATGTGCTTGACCTTGGAAAAAGTTGCCAGTTTCCATGAATGGCATTTTAGATATTTTGAACCAGATTTTATTTCATCAATAGGTCAGTTTACATAGATTTTTTTCATAAATCTATTCTATCTTACTGTTTAAGTAGGTTTTATATAATAATTTTAATTGGAAATTTATAAAAATTTTTTTAAAGTCTTGAATATTTTTTGTTAGGTACTTTATACAGACTCTGAAAGGGGACCAGGAACTAGAGAAAAGGTGAGATCAAAAAGAATTAACCTAGAAGGTAACACACACGCACAGGAAATTAATGTGAGTCAACTCCCTGTATAGCTATCCTTATCTCAACCAGCAAAAACCCTTGTTCCTTCCTATTATGGCTTATACTCTCTCTACAACAAAATTAGAAATAAGGTCAAAATAGTTTCTGCTGGGTATTGAGGGGGTGGGGGGAAAGGGAGAGGGTGGAGTGGGTGGTAAGGAAGGGGGTGGGGGCAGGGGGGAGAAATGACCCAAGCCTTGTATGAACATATGAATAAAAAAAAAGTCTATGGAATAAAAGGAAGAGAGGAAAGTTTGGGGTGGGCAAATGACAGTGTCACCTTTGTACTTCTGAATGACTACTGTAGTTATTGAACTGAGTTATAGTTTCAAACCCATGTAATGATATATTTTAAGAAAGTAGGTTTAGAAACAATAAATCAAAGTTTCAGTTTCCATTCCATGATGGTGTTAGTGATGAATTCCAATCCAAACCTCATGCATGTATCACAATGACTAAAAATCCACCTATAATAAATGCTGAGACCCAAAAAAATAAAATAAAATAAAATAAATCCTTTTACTTACATATCCTTTTTGTCAGTCTTCAAACTTGCTAGGCAGGCACTCCAACACTTAAACCATTCTGCCAGCTCAGCACTTTTTATCATTAATGCATTCATCCAAGATTTACTAGGAATATTGTCTTTTTAAAGTGTTCTGTATTAGCACAATCAGAATTAATCAGTGGTTCTCAGACTTTAACTTGCATCCAAATCACCTTGAGTTATGTTAAAATGCAGGTTTCCAGACCCTACCGAAAAAGTTTCTAATTTCATGTATCTGGGATGCACATTTTCATTTAAAAAAATCTTTTTCTTGGTTAACATCTACTCAAGAAGACTCCAGATGATTTACTGGGCCATATTTATCCCACAACTAATCAATGTCCACATGCTTGGAGAAAGCTTAAAAAGATTTTGCAACTTGTTCACTGAGTTGAAGAACTGAATGACCTATAAGCACTGGCATAATTTTGGAAATTCATGAGTATAGAAAACAAAAATATCTTTATTTTATCAATTAGTTAATTAGTTGATTTACTTGCCAAACCATCTAAATAGTGGTCGTGTTTAAAACAATTTTCTCTTGCAAACCTACATTTAAGTAAAAGTTCATTTAAGTGAAAGATCAGATGTGGTCTGATTACTGGGTTCCTGAAGGTTCTGAAAAATCCAGATATGTAAAGGATGGTAGGGAATGCCTGATAGCATTCATCTATACATAAATGGTATTAACTCAAGTAAGTCTTCAAAAATTATATGTTGGTTTACCCTGAGACTTGAACTTAGCCACTTATCACTGAGAAAGAAATTGCTTTGATTTGGACAGAATTTCAGAATTCCTTTTTATTCTATTATTATTGCTTTGCATACACCAAGATTAATCTTCATGGTTTAATATTCCCTTTACTTTGGACCCACCAAATGTCAGAGCAGAAAATGTTGTCCAGATCTGGACTTGGTGGTAAGGGAAATTTTGCCTTCTGCTATATTGCCATAGAAAAAATTCAAATCAGACAACCTATGCACATTTAAGAGTTTAGGATTTCAAAACATTTGTGATCTTAGTAGGGATCACAGAATTAAGAAGGAGGTCAATGCTACCATAGTTTACTCCACACAATTTTTTGCCCATGTATACCTTTGTTCTTAAAATCAGTTAAATACCAAGCCATTCAAAATTCAAGCACTTAAAACTCATTACTCAAAATGAAAACAAAAAACCCATTTACACTATCTCTAAAAGAAACTTTAAAAGTACTATCTATAGAGTTTTCATTTCAAAAATATTTTCTTCTTGTATTTTCTATAGACCTGTGGCCATGTTGTCAAAAAGGATCCTAGAGGTCCATGTCTGCTATGAACCCTGGGATCTTAGGGTATTATAATTCCAAAGTTTGAGGGTTGGAGAAAATGTCAAAATAAGCTTCAATGAGAACTACTTTTGTTTTTCTCATTCCCTTTCTGTCAATTCATGCACTACTTACCACTACTTTTCATGACCTTGTTACTGCACATACTCATAGAGCAAAATGTGTTTTGTTGTGTCTGTGGTTTAATGGTGTTAGAAAATACATTGCTGATGCTAGATGATGTGTGTGTGTGCATGTGTGTGAGTGTGTGAATGAGAGGGAGAGAAGACACCCCAAGCAAGCTCCTTGCAAACAAAAAATGCACTTACTTTTAATATCTTCTTATGGTTCCCAAAACTCATTTTGCAAACAAGGGAGTCTATCAAAGATATTTCTTGGTTGACTAACTATTTCAAGATCAAAGTGCAGAAAGTGTTTGTAAAACTCGTTTTAGAACTTTGATGTGCTAGGCACCTTTGTCTTCAGTCTCATACTCTCCCTTTCCTATTAGAGAGTAAATTCTCCACAACAACTTCCAGCATCTTATTACAAGATTCCCCAGAAACACTAAATTCCCCACTCCTATGGGCCCTCCTGCCCTCTTTCTATGACACATTATACAGTTCAACTTTTAACCAGATGACATTCCAGTTTTTCTTTAGTTAACCTCACTTTCTACTTTCTTGACCTTTAGCCAAGAATCCAATATTCACCAGAACCCCATAGCCAGCTTTGGTTCTCTAAATTCTCCCAGCCCAATTCAATCGCTTTCCAAGTTCTAAACCTACCAAAAAATGCACTTTCTTACACTGTTTTGGAATTATTTATTCACTTATGTGACTCTTTCTTCCATATTACTAGATTCAGGACCATACTTCTCCTCCTTTTGCATTTCTCATTCTGTCCCAAATTAAGACCATGGATTGTATATTGCACAAATTCTTTCATTAATTACTTAATTAGTTAATTTACTAAATCCTACTATTGCCAAGTGAATGGATTATGAGGTTACTAGACTCAGGGTCTAGGCAACACAGACCTAATCCTCTGTGTACCCTCCTAACAGCCCCCTTCACCTCCTTGTTATGAAGAGTATAAAGAATAGGATTGAGAAATGGGGTAAACAAAGTGTAATCCAAAGCAATAAGCTTATCTCTGCCTTCATCTTGGATTCCAGGCGACCCCACATAGACAATGAAAGCAGAGCCAAAGAACAGTGTTACTACAATGATATGGGACGAACAGGTAGAGAAAGCCTTGGCACGACTAGCAGTTGAGGGCAGCTTCAGCACAGCTCTCACGATGCCTCCATAGAATCCCAAAATAAGAGCATGTGTTAATCATGCCAATCACTGAAATATAAACCTGAGCATGCCAGTTTGTGTCCACACATGACAACCTCATTAGTGGCACCAGGTCACAAAAGTAATGGGCTACATCATTCAAGCAGAATGGCAGAGTGGCAGTGAGACTGGCTGGCACAAGTGCAGCTGTGAAGCCAACCACCCACGTGGACCCTGCTAACCATAGTTGTACCTGTCTGTTCATGAGTGAATGGTAGTGGAGTGGGTGACAGATGGCAAGATAACGGTCCAGTGCCATGATACTCAACAGGTAGCACTCAGTCATGCCCAAGGAGTGGAAGACATACAGCTGGAGAAAGCACACAGTTGGTGAGATGGGTGAAGGCCCACACAGCAAGGTACGTTAGCAACGTGGGCACTGTGGTGCTGACATACCAGAGTTCCAGCAAGGAGAGGACACTGATAAAGAAGTACATGGGTGTGGAAAGTCTGGAATCTGTCTGAACCAAGATGATGATAAATAAGTTCCCTGCAAGGGTGAGGAGATAGATGCACAAGGTCCCCCAAAAGGCCAGAGTGCATAGGGTGCCAGTGGTGGTGAAACCAGCAAGGATGAAAGTCTGGGTCCAGGTATAGTTGGCATGATCCATGATTCCCACAAATGAGGGGTTAAACCAGAAGATGGAATGACTGCAGCCTTCTTTCTCTTGAGAAATTCCTCCAGGTTCCAAAGAATAACAAGCTGGAAAAGAATTTACAGATTATCAAATCAACTCCCTTCCTTATGTAAATAAGGAACTGAATACTAGAAGTCAGAAATGATTTCCTCAGTATCTGTTGTAGACATAGCTCTCAAGTTCACAGCTCTCAATAACTCTCAGGTTCCTCGATCCACTGACCAGCACTTGTTCTATTATGTTGACTGTGGCACCAGAGTCCCAGCCCCCAGGATTTTCTACCACATTTCCTACCAAAAACAAAAGAGGAAAATCCTCTTTCTCATTCTCTTACAGTCCCAAATGAAATGTTACATGTTACTGTTATATATGTACCCTTACCATAAACTTTATGCAATAACTAGCTATTTTAAACCATGGAAAAGGGAGACATATGCTTTCTAAAATGTGACTGCTAAACTTCCTTCAGGGAGCCTCCCGAAACTCAGCAATATTCTCATTAAGGATAATATAGGGAAAGAAAGAAATGGGAATACTGTGGGAACATTGCTCAAGCTCAGAACTGTAGGACAGGATGAGTGGTGGGCACATTTTTCCAAAGGATCACAGAAGGAGACTTGCATCAGGAATCCTAAAAGGGATGGGAAGAGGAGAGTATTTCTGAGGTAAGTCCTCTGTGTTATAAGTCAAGAAGTGCTATAGTATCACAAACAAATCATTCTTTTGGGCATAGGATTTGTAAGAATGAATGTTGGCCCTGACTTTTCTCCCTTCTTTACCCCAACTTTCTCTTCTTCCACGTGAAGAAGTTTTAGGACTTAGGAGAGTGACTCAAGTGGTAGTGTGCTAGCCTAGCAGGTGTGAAGCCCTGAGTTCACTCTCCAGTACCACAGAAACAAATAAGTTAATAAGTAAGTAAATAAATAAATAAATGAAGTTTTAAGGAAAATCAACCTCTAAAATAAGGAAATTTAAATAGATTTTTTAAAGCCCCTTATAAACTACTAATCTGTGACTCTCTAAAGCCTTTGAAGGACATTTATCAGGTTCATATTGGTGATGTATGATCTATATCAAGGTCCCTAGAATTTTACTCCCATGGTCTGATAGAAATCATTCAGGAAAGGTCAAAGTCATCTCATAGTTCTTTTCTTCAGCTACTCTCACCAGTTCAGCACCACTCCTACCCATTACCTTACTGTTTTCATGACAGTAGCACTTGTCACACCCTTCTTGGCACTCTTTCTACCCAAAGACGCTTTCCCAATTATATTTCATGATCCTGAAAATGTGGGTCTTCCCTGGGTTCCTTGAGGCATGTTCCCTGGAGCTGCTAAGACTAGCTCTCAGTATGAGTCCCTTAGGCACAGGAAGTGAAGCAGATGAGCTCTCTTTCTCACATGACTTTTCTCAACTCAACTGTCTTTACTTGGAGTCCTAAGGACACTGCTTTTTCTGGGCCACTAGCAGTTTTACAATTACCATAGAGTCTGCAATAAAGATACAATCCAACTTGCATACTCTAGTGCATACATGAAGAATAATAACTTGGGGACCCTAAAAGCAGACTCCATCTTTTTAAAAATCCTCTTTTCCAGGAGATTTCTTATCCGTAACTTCTAACCTCACTGCTGTATGAACACAATCCACTCTGGCATAATCATTATTTTTTGTCTGGTAGTACTAGGGTTAAAGTTCAGGGCTTCATGCTTGATAAATAGGTGCTCTACCACTTGAGCCATTCCTCCAGCCCTTTTTTTCCTGGTTATTACCACCACCACTTTCTGTTCACCATCTCCATCTTTATTACTCCAACCACCACCCCACCTCCAATGTGTCCACTATCATTTATTCACTGTTCCAATCACTGTTTATTGAATATCTAAAATACTATTCTAAGCCCAGTGTTCTAAGTCTCCCTCAGCAGAATTGCTACTCTACCATTACTTACTCCACCTGTACCATCACTTTTACCCTGAACGTTCTCATGAAACTAATCTACTATTTTATAATCACTTTTATTTAAATCTAAACCCTCAATATTTTATCAAAATTCCCGATATTTCTGGGTGTAGGAGGAAGAGCTCAAAAAGAATGCAGTTCAAGGCCAGCCCAGGGAAAAAGTTTGCAAGACTCCCATCTCAACCAATCACTGGATATAGTGGCATGTACCGGTCATCCTAGCTTTGTGGGGAAGCTCAGATAGGAAGATCATGGTCCAGGCTGGCCTGGGCATAAAGCAAGGCCCTGTTTCAAAAATAACCAACATTAAAAGAGCTGGCAGAGTGGTTGAAGTGATAGAGTGCCTGCTTAGCAAGCATGAACCCTGAATTCAACCTCCAGTACTGAAAAATAGTGTCAGAGCTTTGATCTCAGCTGAATACTCTGAATGTGTATTTTGATGGATATAGTGTCCAAATAAATAATAGCTACATTTAGCTATTGGAAGTAAAATATTTGAATCATTCATTAATCTAAATGTACATTTCTTTCGGGGAAAGAAGTGGAGACAAAGCAGTTGATAAATTAAAATTTAAGAATAAAAAGATAACCATAAAAACTCAACAAGCAGATCACATTAAATGAATAGAAACTATTCAATACCTTAAAATCAAATTGGGAAAGCTTCCTATGGAGATTTTTGAGCCAAAATGAAGGAATAAATTTGCTTCTGAAAGTGCTAATATAACTTCAGAGCAAGAAGAGCCTCTGTAGTATTAGGACAATTTCAGTCTCATTCAGGCTTGGCCAGCATTTATCCTATATCCTACTACCTCTGAAATTCCTGGCCATTCACAGTGCTAAATATTTGCAGCCCTCTTTCAGTACATTACGGCAATTCCTACAGTCCCACACACCAAGACACTCCTTGTTTTAATTTTTATTTCTTGGATAACAGATTAATCATCTATTTAGGATCTTAAAACTGAATATTTGGGATGTGCTCAAAGTGATGAAATGAATACTCTTTTTATTTCTCCATTATTCACATCACATTCATATTCCTCTTTTGTCATTCAGACTCTGAGACAGATGTTCCACATCAGTCGTACATCTGATAAAATTCTCCACTTGTATAGCCTGGCATTAACTGATTAGGGATTATAATGTCCATGCATTATATCCCTCAGAAGGCTATTATTTATCTGATGCAAATACTTGAGCATAAGAATCATAGATTTATCATCAGTTGGTACAGAAATATATATTAAAGGATTGAGGCTTACAAGTATAGCTCTGGTGTAGTCAAGAGTGCTGTTTCTTCTCTTTCACATCATCCTGTCAGTAGAGAATGTTGCCTAGCATTTATTCTGCATCAGAAAGGAAATGAGACTAGAACAAGTCCTGATACCTCTATCAAGTAATTCATGATTTAGAAAAAAAGGATGATGTCAAAAATTATCTATTTTAAAATAGTTAGTAAGGAAAAGTTTGATTTACATGTTCAAAAACTCACAGTATCCCTGGTAAAATTTAAAAAAATAGCAGGTGTTTATTAGAAATTAAAAATGAGCAAATGAATTTTAAATTGATGAGATTATGAGTGATTTTAAGATTGTACTCTTCTAAACATTTGCATGTGCCATATTTATATGTAATATATTATTTTGAAACATGATTTAAAGATTGGAAAACCTAATATCAAGTACAAATAAAATAATGTGAAAAACAGGGGAGCCACTATCATTCATTTATTCATTTAATACAATTTTAAAATACTGGTTTTTGCTCCAGGTATTATCTAAAACCTTGGATGTGACACATAAAATACCATCCTTTCCCTTAAGATATTTACTTTAGGCTCATGGCAGGCCCTTAAAAAAGACAATTATAAAAATATAGATAGGTTTTTTTCAACACAGGGTAAAAATTTCAACCCCATACATAATAAAATAGATTTGAAATTTAAAACTGCAATTAGATACAATATCTTGATTGTTCACATTTGCAAATGTTCAAGAGTTTCTGGAAAAAAACACTTAACTGAAGTTACTACAGAGAAAACATCTTCATCACTTTGGATGGGAGAACTCAATAACATAATTGCTTTTGAGGAAAATTTAGAAATATTTATCCAAATAATATAGACAGTTGCATAATAATCTAGAAACCTACTTCTAGAAATTTGTATATATATATATATATATACACAATCACCCCATTCTTATGCATAAGGCCCCATACTCTATGTTTTGTTCTATCCTTTTTTTTTCTTAATAAGAAATCCTAGCAATATTTCCATTTTCTTGTAGAGAATACCTTTCACTTTAAAAACTGTTATTCCATTGTGTGTTCAATTTAACTAGAACTCTATGAAAGGATTCTTGTGTTACTTCCACTTGTTGGTTATTAAAATAGCACTGTAGTAAGTAACCTTGAATATACATAATTTTACATATATGTATGCATATATATGTAAAATATATATTTTGTAATCTCTCTCTCTATATATGTATATGTACATATATATTTCCATAGAAGCCTTGCAAAAGGCTTGTCTTTTAAAAAATGGCTTCAAATCCTATTTAAGGAGTAATTCATGCTATTGAAAGAGAACTTACACAATATTCTCAACTCCAGTACTCTACTCTTGACCTATAAGAGAGTAAGTTCCCATCTCTCACTTCCAGCCACCTGCTCACATAGTTCTGTCCTCCATTAAGCTGCCTTTGGTTACACTGTCACAAGATAACTCAGGATCACTGCACTCCACCAACTGGAAAGCTTTCTGCCATAGCTTTCTGCTCCATGTGAAATGACACACAAGCTATAATTTTATTCTTTCGGCCAACCTTATTTTCTACTCACTGAACATTTCTCCAGGAATTCTGCCTAGGTCCTAACTTCACCTGGTCTTCTTTCTTTCAATATTTCACTATTACACTAAGTAGTAGTCTCAATTAAAACGTTTGCTTTGCAACAATGTTTTAAACTTCTTGTACCATTTCTTCTCCATTAGATTGGGAAAGATTCAGAAACTAAAGCCTATTTCTTAGAAGTAGAACATCTGAGCAGTCTCTGAGTAGGTATTTGCAGCATATGGACTAATAATCTTAATGATTACTTTATTAGTGTTTCAACCAATTGATTCTCATAACTGTGAGAGTCATGTTCATGTCAAAAGGGATTATGAGGTCTCCCACAAAATAATCTTCATCCTGTTACTGATCCTTTTCACAGCTTCCTTCACTTCCTTGTTGCGAAGGGTATAAATGATGGGATTAAGGAAAGGAGTAAGAAGGGCATAAACTAAAGCAATAAGCTTGTCAGTGCCCTTAGGTTGACTCCCAGGTGAGCTCACATACACTGTGAAGGCAGAAGCATAGAATAGTGCCACTACAGTCATGTGGGAAGAACAAGTCGAGAAGGCCTTGGCACAACTGGCTGCTGTGGGAAGCTTCAACACAGCTATCAAGATTCCCCCATATAGTACCAAGATGAGCACAAAATTGCAGCCAGTGGCCACACCAATCACTGCCCCATGAACATGAGCATGCCAGTTTGTGTCCACACATGACAACCTCATTAGTGGCACCAGGTCACAAAAGTAATGGGCTACATCATTCAAGCAGAATGGCAGAGTGGCAGTGAGACTGGCTGGCACAAGTGCAGCTGTGAAGCCAACCACCCACGTGGACCCTGCTAACCATAGTTGTACCTGTCTGTTCATGAGTGAATGGTAGTGGAGTGGGTGACAGATGGCAAGATAACGGTCCAGTGCCATGATACTCAACAGGTAGCACTCAGTCATGCCCAAGGAGTGGAAGACATACAGCTGGAGAAAGCACACAGTTGGTGAGATGGGTGAAGGCCCACACAGCAAGGTACGTAGCAATGTGGGCACTGTGGTGCTGACATACCAGAGTTCCAGCAAGGAGAGGACACTGATAAAGAAGTACATGGGTGTGGAAAGTCCAGAATCTGTCTGAACTAGGATGATGATGAACAAGTTCCCTGCAAGGGTGAGGAGATAGATGCACAGGGTCCCCAAAAAGGCAATAGGTTGTAGGGTGCCAGTGGTGGTGAAACCAGCAAGGATGAAAGTCTGGGTCCAGGTGTAGTTGGCATGATCATGATTCCCAGGAACAAGGAGTTAAGGCACAAGTTGAATTACTTTAAACTCCTTCATCTCTTAAGGAAATAACCCTTGTGCCAAGGACAACAAATGTGAGCACCTGAAAGAACATTGACATTATCTAATAAATTCTTTACTATGTAATAGAGGAACTATAGCCCCGAAGGCAGAAATGGTTGGCCCCATATCATAGCATCTGTAAGTGACAGTGACGGGGATGTAATTAGCAAGAAAGGTTCATGTCCCCAGTTTATCCTTGTTTGTTACAATATTGGGCTTCAGATATTCAAACAACTGGATTTCTCTGCCTCCAGGAGAGAGAGAAAATTTCCTATAGTTCCCAATGATAAAGTTACTGGCAACATTGGGCTGTGGTGAAAGGAGAAAAGTCATTTAAAAGTGACTTGTGTGACATCTTTCAGAAAATCTCCCTGGCATGTGTAGACTATTATCAGAACTAAGAGGAAATGAAAGTGATTCAGAAACTCTGACAATAATCCCTAAAATCTCATACCATGATGACTGGTGATTATTGAGTCAGTACTCAAACTACACTCTCTAAAAGTTGGTCCCCAAGGAAGACATGTACCAGGAATTCTCAAAGAGTCCAAAACACAAAACCATAAAAAGCATCAGAGCATTAGTCAAGTGAGAAAGCTTTCTCTGAAGTTAGGGACTGGCTGTGTGCTCTTGCTCTGACACGGACTAAAAAGAAATGCACATTGGACTGAGGAACTTCTCATTTAACCTCAGCTTCCTCTTCTGTAAAATTAAAAAAAAATTTACACAATTGTTTTCTAAAACTCTTATAACACAGATAATTTATGGTTCCCTAAGTAATTAGGAAATTATTATAGGTTTTGGGGCATCAACAAAATTTAGCTTGAATTTTCCTCCCACACCCTAAGGGCACTCACCAGGAAAGGTTAAATTCCTTTCTTAATTCTCTTCTTCAGCTACTCTCATTCATTCTACACCTTTCTTACCTGTTACTTGACTGTTTATTGAGATTAGAACATGTAGCATTGCCTTGTCATCTTTTCTATCCCTGCCTATTTATATTTCCTGTTCCTGGAAATGCAGGCTTCCCAGAGGCTCCTTGTTGGTGTTCCCTGGAGTTGCCAAGTGTGACCAGCTCTCAGTAAGAGTCCCTCTGGGGTAGGAAGTTGGGCAAAAGGAAGTGAAACAAATCAGCTTGACTTCTCAAATGATTTTCTCCACTCTGAAACAGGGTCTGATGCCTCTATTAAGAAACTAATAATTTAGCAAAAGAGACAGTTAAGAATGCTATGGGATTATAAAACAGGTCCTTTTAGGGGATGGTATTTGTAAGAGAGGGAAGGTGAATGGAGAGGATAAAGGAGGGTGAATATGTGGATGTACTTTATGTAGTTGGATGAAATAGAACAATGATACCTCTTGTAATTGTTTTAAGTAGGAGGTGAGGGAGATAAGGTAGTGAGATGGTGAGGGTGAACCTAACCAAAGTACAATGTAAGCATATATGGAAATGTCACAATGAATCTCCACTGTGCAAATAATAGATACTAGTAAAAATGCTTTTTAAAAAGAAAAACATAATAATTTCCCATTGCAATTGACACATAGTTGCAAGGGTTAAGTTGGCAAAACAGACCCATGTGACTCAGATATCTTATCCTACAGCTGACTTTACCAATAATTTAAAAAAAAGCAAGAAAACAAAATAAAGCAAAAAGAATACTGTAAGAAGTAATTATAAAGGGAAAAATGAGTAATTGCTTAAAATAATTTTGTAAGTGACTTTTTTGTGTGTGGTACTGGGATTTGAACTCAGGGACTAAATCTTGAGCCACTCCACCAGCCCTTTTTTTTGTGATGGGTTTTTTTAAGAAAGGGTCTCATGAACTATTTGCCCAGGCTGACCTTGAACTGAGATCCTCCTGATCTCTGCCTCCTAAGTAGCTAGGATTATAAGCATGACACCTGGCTACTTTTAAATTTTTAATCAAACTGTCCTGTATTATTAATAAATTTATTTGTAATATTATTTTCTAAAAAAAATGTGAACTAAGATTTAGAAAACGTGAGATAAAGTGCAGCTAAATTATAGTGACAAAAAGGAACATCACAGCAATTCTATAATTCATTCATTGATCATATTTGTGGATCATTTTCTATGTTCCATGCTTCATGCTAAGAAAATTATGAGATTCATAAAATATAATTCTTTCCTAAAAATGCTTAATTTTAGTGGAGGGGATAGACTCTAAAACAGGCACATATTAAATAAGGACATAAACATATGACAACCCTTGATAATGTACATTCAATTTTAAGTTACATTGTGGTACTTTTCTCATTTTTTAGATTGATAAAGACCCTTAAATTTAAAAACACATTTGACTGGGGAGGCTGCAAAGGAACATTTTTCATATGTTCCTTATAAGAATACAAATAGCATAGCTAAGATGAAAAGTTAGCCATACTTATGCAAACTACACACTCATTCTACTATGACCTAGTAATTTCACATACTAGAATTCATCTTACATACATATAAACATATATATGTGCACATGTATGAAATGAATACCAAAGTTATTCTTTGTAGTTTTGTTTATAATAGTAAAAGACTGGAAGCAACTCAAAGGCTCTTCAGTAGAGACCAGTTCAATAAAATAAAAAACATAGAGCTGGTTGCAAAATGAAGAGGCACTTCCTGCAACAATATGGAAAAATCTTCAGAAGGTGTATAAGAATTCATATTTGCTTGTTTTGTATAAATAAACACTGGAGGGGTCTAGGAAACAACAATGAAAGTTCTTTCCTACAATGAGGATGGTGGATGGCAAGGAATAGAAAGAGGCAAATACACCTAGGAGTTGGAAAACCACTCACATACCTTTTATGAATTATTTTTTAATAATATAATTTTATTATCTATGGAAACAAGTATGATAATTTTAAAAATACACATTAATATAATAACTTTTATGTCCTGGCTTGCTAAAGAGAGTTCTGGTGAATATCTGTTATCCCTGAGTAACTATTAATGTGCCCTGGTTCATCCTTAAAAATATTTGGGTTTTACTTTGATGCTGAACTATATGAAAATTCTGGATGAAAGAATGTCACCTTTGATGCTACTGCAAAGTATATGCATATAATTATAATTACATATTATATGTGTATATATAATTTATCCCTTCAGAAGCAGTAAAGCTGATGTCAACATGGAAGAAAGAAGTCACCCAGTCATAATCTGTTCAGGTTGCTATAACAAATTCCTACAGACTGGACAGTTCATACATAGCAGAAATTTATTTCTCACATTTTTGGTTGTTTTTAAGTCCAAGATCAACAGACGGCAGATTCAAGGTCTGGTAAGGACCTACTTCCTGGTTCTCAATGACCATCTTCTCACTAGAATCTCCTATGGTGGCATTCTCTAGAGACTCCTTGTGAGAGCACTAATTCCATTCATGAGGGCTCTGCCTTCGTGACACAACCACCTTCTAAAGGCCCTACCTGTAAATACCACCTTGTGAGAGATTAGGTTTCAGAATATGAATTTGGGGAATACAAAAACTTTCAGTGGACACATCCCAATATGTCATATTGATATATTGCTTCCCATTTTTTTTCATTACAGCAGATATAACAAAGTGATAATATTTGTATGATACCCGGAGGTGAACAGAAAGGCTGCTTGCTGACAAATACAAACCACCTAAAGACCAGAGTTTTCTCAACTCTCTCGGGCCACTCAAAGGGAAATCAGTAGATCAGCACCCCTGATACTTACATTTGTTAGGAATCTTTGTCTTGGGGAAGATGTAAAGAAAAAGACCTAAGCAGGTGGGAACCAGTGGCTCATTCATTTAGGTAATCCTAGCTACTTGGAAGGCTAGATTGGGAGCATCAAGGTTCAAGGCCAGTCTGGGCAAAAAGTTAGTGAGAGTCCATCTCAGCGTAAAAAAGCTGGGTCTGGTGGGGCATAGCTATCATCTGGCCTAGCCAAAAAACAAAACATCTCCAAGGCACAGCTCAAGTGGTAGAGTGCCTGCCTAGCAGGCACAAAGCCCTGAGTTCAAACTCCAGTACCACCAAAAAAATCTTTTAAAGACCTCAGAAAATTTTGAGACTAAAAAAACATGAAGGAAGGAGATAAATCTAGAACACTGAAGTGATCTAAGAAAAAAATGGCTCCTTGTGGAGTTGCAGGAATAATACTTAAATCTGTCAGCCTCCTTTGATCCTTAGAAACCCATTTATTCATAAATGAATGAATACGTTGGGCACTAAATTTATGTGGGGAAATTTTAAGTAACGTCTATCTCATATGGAATATTTAATTTTATGTACTTTACCTCTATAAACTAATTTCACTTTCACCAGAATTCTCTGAAAAAAAGATTCTATTGCTTTAATTTCACAGATGAGACTCCAAAAAGCAGGAAATTTAAATGATAATCCAGGAATGTACAGCAAAATAATGGTAGCGATAACAAATGAGCTGAGGTAATAAGCTTCAAAGTCCCATCTATAACCATTATACTGTCCTGTCCATGGAGTAAAAAATACTTACTATGAATTAGGAACCCTCTTATGTGTTAGAAACAGCATCAGACACTTTGCATGTTTTGTTTCCTTGAATCTCCAGAGGACAGAGGCGTTCATTATAATCTTTTTAAATATAAGAAAACAGACGGTCAAAAAGAGATTAAGCTTTTGCCCAGAACTGAATAACTAAAAGGTGACAAAATTTGGATCTGGACAAATATATTTCCCTTTCTTTGGAATATTCAAATCTTACCCATCTGGGCCTCATCCAGGCCTACTTTCTTTAATATGTGTTGCAATCATAGAATCAAATCTCCTTCAGCTGCAAGAAATGTGAGCATTCACTACCAGCCACTCATTTTGCAGATAGAAAATGAGGCTAAGAAAGTTCATGCTAAGGTCACACAGTTAGCTGGAATGGATATGAAGAGTAATCCATGTCTCTTTGCAGCAAGTCTTGAAATATTTTT